AGCAAAAAGGTTATGCTAATTTTCTATGTCACACCTGGAGGAGACGCAGGAAATTACATCAGGTGAAGTTGATGAATCAGTTGAATGAGACCACCCAGTCCCTCCACCCTCTTCTATGGAGAGCAGTTTCGTTTCTTTTCTTTTTTCTTTTCTTTTCTTTTCTTTTCTTTTTTCTTTTCTTTTGTTTTTCTTTTTCTTTTCCTTTTTTCTTTTTTATTTATTTATTTTTAATTTTTTACAAATAGTTTATTGTCAACTTGGTTTCCATATAACAGCTAGTGCTCATCCCAACAAGTGCCCTCCTCCATGCACATCTCGCACTCCCCCCCCCATACCCATCAGTCCTCAGTTTGTTCTCAGTATTCAAGAGTCTCTCATGGTTTGCCTCTCTCCCTTTCCCCCACCATTTCCCCCCTTCTTCTCCCCCTTGTTCCTCCGTCCAGTTCCTCCTAATCCTCCTATACGTGCAAACATATGATATTTGTCCTTCTCTGCCTGACTTATTTCGCTCAGCATAACACCCTCAAGGTCCATCCATGTTGCTACACATGGCCAGATTTCATTGTTTCTCATTGCCATGTAGTATTCCATGGTATAGATAAACCACATCTTCTTGATCCATTCATCTGTTGATGGACACTTAGGCTCTTTCCATGTTTTAGCTATTGTGGAGAGTGCTGCTATGAACATTGGGGTACATGTGCTCCTATGCCTCAGCATTTCTGTATCCCTTGGGTAAATTCCTAGCAGTGCTATTGCTGGGTCATAAGGGAGTTCTATTGTTAGTTTCCTGAGGAACCTCCACACTGTTTTCCAGAGGGGCTGTACCAGTTTACATTCCCACCAACAGTGTAGGAGGGTGCCCGTTTCTCCACATCCTCGCCAGCATCTAGAGTTCTCTGATTTGCTCATTTTAGCCACTCTGACTGGCGTGAGGTGGTATCTCAGTGTGGTTTTGATTTGTATTTCCCTGATGAGGAGGGATGCTGAGCATCGTTTCATGTGTCTGTTGGCCATCTGGATGTCCTCTTTGGAGAAGTGTCTGTTCATGTCTTCTGCCCATTTCTTCACTGGGTTGTTTGTTTTTCGGGCGTGTAGTTTGGTGAGTTCCTTATAGATTCTGGATATTAACCCTTTATCTGATATGTCATTTGCAACTATCTTTTCCCATTCCGTTGGTTGCCTATTAATTTTCTGGGTTGTTTCCTTGGCTGTGCAGAAGCTTTTAATCTTGATGAGGTCCCAACAGTTTATTTTTGCTCTTGATTCCCTTGCTTTTGGGGATGTGTCAAGTAAGAAGTTGCTGCGGTGGAGGTCAAGGAGGTTGTTTCCTGCTTTCTCCTCTAGGGTGTTGATAGTTTCCTGTCTCACGTTCAGGTCCTTTATCCATTTTGAGTTGATTTTTGTGCATGGTGTGAGAAAATGATCTAGTTTCATTCTTCTGCATGTTGCTGTCCAGTTCTCCCAACACCATCTGTTAAAAAGGCTGTCTTTTTTCCATTGGATATTCTTTCCTGCTTTGTCAAAGATCAGTTGGCTGTATACTTTTGGGTCCACTTCTGAGTTCTCAATTCTGTTCCATTGGTCTATGTGTCTGTTTTTGTGCCAATACCATACTGTCTTGAGGATGACAGCTTTGTAGTAGAGGCTGAAGTCTGGGATGGTGATACCTCCCGTTTTGGTTTTATTTTTCAGTATTACTTTGGCTATTCGGGGTCTTTTGTGGTTCCATACAAATTTTTGGATAGTTTGTTCTAGTTTTGAGAAGTATGCTGGTGCAATTTTGATTGGAATTGCATTGAATGTGTAGAGTGCTTTAGGTAGTAATGACATCTTAACTATATTTATTCTTCCTATCCATGAGCATGGAATGTTTTTCCATTTCTTTGTGTCTTCTTCAATTTCCTTCATAAGTTTTCTATAGTTTTCATCATACAGATCTCTTGTATCCTTGGTTAGGTTTATTCCGAGGTATTTTATGGTTTTTTGTGCAATTGTGAATGGGATCAGTTTCTTGATTTCTCTTTCTGTTGCTTCATTATTGGTGTATAAAAATGCAACCGATTTCTGTACGTTGATTTTGTACCCTGCAACTTGGCTGAATTCTTGGATCAGTTCTAGTAGGCTTCTGGTGGAGTCTGTCGGGTTTTCTATGTAGAGTATCATGTCATCTGCGAAGAGTGAAAGTTTGACTTCCTCTTTGCCAATTCTGATGCCTTTGATTTCCTTTTGTTGTCTGATGGCTGATGCTAGGACTTCCAGCACTATGTTAAACAACAGTGGTGAGAGTGGACATCCCTGTCGTGTTCCTGATCTCAGGGGGAAAGCTCTCAGTTTTTCCCCGTTGAGGATGATGTTAGCTGAAGGCTTCTCATAGATGGCTTTGATGATGTTTAAGTAGGTTCCTTCTATCCCAACTTTCTCGAGAGTCTTTATTAAGAAGGGATGCTGTATTTTGTCAAATGCTTTTTCTGCATCTATTGACAGGATCATATGGTTTTTATCTTTTCTTTTATTGATATGATGTATCACATTGATTGATTTGCGAATGTTGAACCAGCCCTGTAACCCAGGAATGAATCCCACTTGATCTTGGTGGATGATTCTTTTGATATGCTGCTGGATTCGATTTGCAAGGATCTTGTTGAGAATTTTTGCATCCGTATTCATCAAGGATATTGGCCTGTAGTTCTCTTTTTTTTGCTGGATCTCTGTCTGGCTTGGGAATCAGAGTGATGCTGGCTTCATAAAATGAGTCTGGGAGTTTTCCTTCGACTTCTATTTTTTGGAATAGTTTGATAAGAATTGAGATTAATTCTGTTTTAAATGTCTGGTAGAATTCCCCAGGGAAGCCGTCAGGTCCAGGGCTTTTATTTGTTGGGAGATTTTTGATCACTGATTCGATTTCTTCACTCGTTATGGGTCTGTTCAGGTTTTCTATTTCTTCCCGTTTGAATTTTGGTAGTGAGTGTGTGTTTAGGAATTTGTCCATTTCTTCTAAGTTGTCCAGTTTGTTGGCATATAATTTTTCATAGTATTCCCTGATAATTGCTTGTATTTCTGAGGGGTTGGTTGTAATAAGTCCATTTTCATTCATAATTTTGTCTATCTGAGTGCTCTCTCTTTTCTTTTTGATAAGTCTGGCTAGAGATTTGTCAATTTTGTTTATTTTTTGGAAGAACCAACTCTTGGTTTCATTGATCTGTTCAATTGTTTCTTTGGTCTCTATGTTGTTTATTTCTGCTCTAATTTTTACTATTTCTATTCTTCTACTGGGTTTGGGGTGCTCTTGTTGCTCTGCCTCTAGATCCTTTAGGCGAGTTGTTAGATTTTGCACTTGCGCTTTCTCTAATTTCTTGAAATAGGCCTGGAGAGCCATGTACTTTCCTCTTAGGACTGCCTTTGCTGCATCCCATGGAATTTGGATTGTTGTATTTTCATTTTCATTTGTTTCTATATATTTTTTAATTTCTTCTCTAATTGCCTGATTGGCCCATTCATTCTTTAGTAGGGTATTCCTTAACCTCCATGTTTTTGGAGGTTTTCCAGACTTCTTCCTGTAATTGATTTCAAGTTTCAAAGCATTATGATCTGACAGTGTGCATGGTATGATCTCAATTCTTTTATATTTATTGAGGGCTGCTTTATGTCCCAGTATGTGATCTATCTTGGAGAATGTGCCATGCGCACTCGAGAAGAAAGTGAATTCCTTGGCCTCAGGATGCAGAGTTCTAAATATATCTGTCAGATCCATCTGGTCCATTGTGTCATTCAAGTCCGTTGTTTCTTTAGTGATTTTCTGTCTGGTTGATCTATCCATTGCTTTAAGTGGAGTATTAAAGTCCCCTGCTATTAGCACATTCTTATCTATAAGATTGTTTCTGTTTGTGAATAATTGTTTTAAATATTTAGGTACTCCCATATTCGGTGCGTAGACATTTATGATTGTTAGTTCTTCCTGACGGATGGACCCTATAATTATTATATAATGCCCTTCTTCATCTCTTGTTATTGTCTTTAGTTTAAAGTCCAGTTTGTCTGATACAAGTATAGCTACTCAAGCTTTCTTTTGACTTCCCGTAGCATGATAGATATTTCTCCATCCCCTTACTTTTAATCTGAAGGTGTCTTCCAATGTAAAATGCGTTTCCTGTAGACAGCAAATAGATGGATTTTGGTTTTTTATCCATTCTGCTACCCTATGTCTTTTGATTGGAGCATTCTGCCCATTTACATTCAGTGTTATTATTGAAATATGTGGGTTTAGAGTCATTGTGTCCTTTGTGGGGTTCATGCTTGTTGTGGTGTGTCTGGTGTCTTTGTTCCTTGCAATACTTCCCTCAGAGAGTCCCCCCTCAGGATTTTTTGTAGGGCTGGCTTAGTGGTGACAAATTCTTTCAATTTTGTTTATTTGGAAAGACTTTTATCTCTCCTTCTATTTTGAATGACAGGCTTGCTGGATAGAGGATTCTTGGCTGCATATTTTTTCTGTTCATCACATTGAAGATCTGCTGCCACTCCTTTCTGGCCTGCCAAGTTTCAGTCTGTCACCACTCTGATAGGTTTCCCTTTATATGTTAGGGCCCTTTTCTCCTGAGCTGCTTTCAGAATTCTCTCCTTGTCCTTATATTTTGCCATTTTCACTGTGATATGTCATGCAGAAGATCAATTCAAATTATGTCTAAGGGGAGTTCTCTGTGCCTCTTGTATTTCTACATTTACTTCCTTCCCCAGGTCGGGGAACTTCTCTGCTATAATTTGTTCCAGGACTCCTTCAGCACCTTTCCCTCTCTCTTCCTCTTCTGGGATTCCTATGATACGGATATTGTTATGTTTGACTGTATACTGAGGTCTCGAACTCTTCTTTCATGTTCCTGTATCAGTTTGTCTCTTTTTTGGTCAGCTTCTTGTTTTTTTATAATGGTGTCTTCTAAATCACTTATTCTCTTTTCTGCCTTATGGAGAGCAGTTTAAAACCAACTCCTTTGCCTGGTTCTCAGGTGTAGTTAAGGAGCTGCATCAGCACTGGCAGACACGTCTCAGAGCTGACCCTGCTGCACAAACAGCAAGTGTCTGGAAAGCCCTAACCCGGCCCAGCCTCAGAGAGGAGGAAGAGAGCACGGTCTCCATCAGCCCTCTACCCTCAATGCTGCGGGTCTGCATACCGCTGCCATCCCAGGCCCTCAACTCTGCCCTTGGTCAGGGTCAGCTGACCCTGGCGCTCCACCCCGTCCCGCCCACGCTCTCTGCCCTGCACCGGAGCTCTCCACCGGAGGACCATCATTCAGTGTGAGAAGACGCCAGTCATCGCCATAGCTGCCTGCTGGCCGCAGAGGCCTCAGCCATCCTGCAGACATGCAGGCGGCGACTCCAGCCCAGAGGCAGGGACCTGGGCCTCCCTTCAGGCTGCTGCGTGCTAATGCCAGAAGATTGGAGACCACCAAATCTCCTCAGAAGCCTTGGGGCATCAGAACTCAGATCTGGGCTGTATGAACAGGGCCTAGTGACCTTTGTGTCTGTGTGGACAGCACCCTCATGACCTCCAGGACACAGCCTGGACAACCACAGTGTCCATGTGGATTTCACCACCCATTCCCATGACAATGGGACATGGCCTGGACATTCTCAGTGTCCGTGTGGACATGTCTCCACGATGATGATGATGATGTCTCCACAGAGGCACCTCAGCCCAGACATCCTAAGTATCTGGTGGACGACAGATGCCTGTCCCTACGGCCTGGACAACCTCTGTGTCCCTGGGGAGGACCATCAGCTCAGTGGAGGACTGGCAGCCTCCAGGACCAGGCTGAACTCTTGCAGACCTTGCTCTTGGAAGAGAAAAGGGTAAGGACAATACGCCACATTTGGTCACAGTATGCGTCCAACACTTTTTAGCGAGATTTAATGCTCTGTGTACATACTTGGCAAAAGCTGCTTTGAACTTCTAGCTGAGGAGTTAATAGCTCACAGGTTTTGTAGAGAAGTGTCCTCTGGAAAGGATTCCCCATGGGGACAGAGCCTTGGCTAAAGTTAGGGTTCTGTCCAGGGGAGTCACCAGGACCAAAGTGACACCAGTCCCAGGATCTCCCTGTGCTGAAATGAGGGCACATGTACAGGTGCAAGTTAGCTGTCAGTTACGACGAGAGGTAGGTATAGGTGTCAGGTTAGGAATTGGTGTTGGGGGTAGGGTGTGGTTAGGAGTAGATCCCAGGAGGCTTCCGGGTTGGACCGACAGAAGTGAGGTGGTCTCCCTGGGGGGCTGAGTTGAGGGCGCATGGGTGGGTGCCAATCAGCCATTGCCTTGGCTTCAAAAGCCAGTCTCCTCTTTGGGCTAAAGTACAGGTGGGCCTCAGGAGCCCACTCGTGCAGCTTCATCCAGGCTTTGGATGTGGCATGGTGATGTTCCATATGCCATGCCGAGTCATCTTGCACTGCTTCCATGTCCCATTGCTACGGTTTTCTCAGACCTCAGACTCGGATCCCCATGGGGAGAAAGAGCACGGGCTAGGTAGAGTTAGGGTTGTGTCCAGGGGAGTCACCAGGACCAAAGCGGCACCAGTCCTGTGATCTCCCTGGAGGGCTGAAGTGAGGGCCAATGGGCGGGGCCAGGTCAGGTGTAGGGTTCTGGTGAGCCTGACAGGTGGGGCTAGGGTTAGGGTCCGTGCCCAGGACGCTGCAGTAAATGATCTGCCAGTGGTGCCGTGCTCCACCCAGAGGGCTGAGTTGAGGGCACATGGGACAGTGCTGGCCAGGCTTAGTGTTGGGTTTCCAGGACCCACTGCCTCAGTGGGCCAGGGTACAGAGGGGCCTGAGGACACCCCTCGTGCCGCTGTTTCTGGGCTTTGCAAATGTCATGGTGATGTTCCCTGTTCCATGCTGAAGAAGCCTGCACCACTTCTGGGCCCCATGTCCACAGTTTAATCAGATCTAGGACTCAGATCCCCACGGGGAGAGCGAGCCTTGGATAGGGTTAGGGTTGCGTCCTGGGGAGTCACCAGGGCAGAAGCGACACCAGCCTCTTGATCTCCCTGGAGGTCTGAAATAAGAGCCCATGCATGGGTGCGGCTCAGGTGTAGGGTTAGGTTTAGAGTGAAGGTTAGGAGTAGCGGTAGGGTTAGGTTTAGGCTTAGTGATAGGGATAGAGTAAGATCCCGGGACGATCCAATATCTAATCAGCAAGCAGTCCAGTGATCTCCCCTGAGGGCTGAATTGAGGGCATAGGGGAAGTTGGCAGTGAAGCTTGGTGGGGAGGTTCAAGGCCCAGCCCCCTCTGTGTGGCCAGGCTCAGTTGCCCCTCACGACACCCCTTGTGCTGCATGATCCAGCCTTTGTTAATGTGATGGTGATGTTCCATGTTCCATGCTGATTAAGCCTGCACTGCTTCTGCTTCCCCTGTCCATCTGTTCTCAGAACTAGTATATGGGTCCCCATGGAAAGAGTGCCATGACTAGCATTAGGGTTCGGTGCAGGAGAATCTCCAGGGCAGAAGCGACACCATTCCTGTGATCTCCCTGGAGGGCTGAAGTGAGGGCACATGCACAGGTGAGGCTCAGGTGTATGGTCGCGTTTAGAGTGAGGGTTAGGGGTAGGGTTAGGGTTAGGTTCAGGTTCAGGGTTAGGGTTAGGGATGATCCAGGATCTAATCAGCCACAGAGCAGTGATCTCCCAGGAGGGCTGAGGTGAGGGCACCAGGGAAGTTGGCAGTCAGGGTTAGTGTTTGGGTTCAAGGCCAAGTCTCCTCTGATTTCCTTAGTGATTAGTTTTGATTAGTTTTTATCCTTATTCTTTGCATATTTATTTGTGATTTTTGATATATGGTCACCATTAGGTTTTTTATAGAATTCATTTGCTTTTAGATGTTATTAATTTGCTGGTCTTTTACCTCTGAACCCATTATTTTCTCCTCCCTTTGTTTTGATACATGTTTGTATATTTCCAATTTTGTCAGTTTCTTGACTGATTTTTTTTACAGAAATATTCATTTTTACTGGTTTTGTGTTTTCTACCTCTCTTGCCACTTTTAGTCTCTTTTTTCCAAAGAGTCCCTCTTAATATTTCTTGCTGGACTAATTTAGTGGTACCAATTCCTTTAGTTTTTTTTGGGGAAACTCTTATGTCTCCTTCTATTCTGAATGATAGCCTTGCTGGATAGAGTATTCCTGGCTGCTGATTTTTCCATTCAGCACTTTGAATAGGTCAGGTCACTCGCTTCTGGCTTGCCAAGATTCTGTTGACAAGTCTATAGCTGTCCTTTGTTGGCTGGAGGCTCTGCACCAGGGCATCCAGGGGCTCAAGGCTATGCATAGAATGCATCGGTGGCTGGATGAGACATAGGAGGGTGGCTGGCAGTGTGCAGCTGGGTGTGGTGCAGATGTGCATAACGTGCTGTGGCAGCTTTGCATGCAGCAGGCTGGACGGGGTGCCCATATGGTTTTAACAAAGTTTGCACTGAGCCCAGCAGGCTTGGAGTTGGTGAGTCCCCCAGAGATCTCTTGGGACAGCCGCACTGCTAGCAGGTTAGGTAACAAGGGTCTGTGCAGCCCAACACCCTGGTAGGTGCTTCTGTGCTTATTCTGGGGAGTGGGGTAGAAAAGTGGGGCCTGTGAGCTCCCTCATTGTTGGAGACGTCACCCAATCTCTCAGAAATCAGCATGAACACATCTGTCTCCTGTTGTCTCTGGCATAGTGTAAACTACCATGTTTACATTACTCTCCACACAGGCAGGGTCCTGGCTATCACTCACCCTCCTGGATCACCCAGTGCTGAGTCAGCGACCTCCTAAGCTCCAGGATCCAAAGTGAAGGAATTCGGCCCTTCTGGGATTGGTCTTCCCTGTGTGAGTTCCCTGGGGTGCGGGTTCACTTTCTCCGCCTTCTCTGCAGGCAGCTGCCTTCTATCTTTCAGATGCAGCTTCTCTCTATTGAGTTGTGGACTTTGTTCTGCCAGTCTTTGAATCACTCTCTGGTTTATGGACTTGGATGTGAAGGTTATGTAGTTGAAAATATGGGGCAGGGTAAGCTCAGGGTCCTCCTACTCTGCAACTATTAATTTTTTAAATGTCTTAATTTTTTAAGACCTGCTCAGATTCTTGTCTCCTATGGACTTCAGGATTAGAAAGGAATTTTCCCACATATTCTTCTACTATTTCATGTTTTGAAACTATCTTTAATGAGGCTAGCTTGAGGGAGAGGGCAAGATGGCGGAGAAGTAAGGAGCTCCGTACTTGCACTCGCGCCCATACATCACACAGAAAAGATCTGAAGCCATTGGAAACCTTACAAAACCTGAGAGATTGGGAGAAAAAAGACGCAGAATCCAC